TTATCTAACACAGTTAAAACAAATGCTTTTTAGTTCCTCGGCAATAAAAATCGCACACTTATTTATCCCTTCCTGCTCTCTACCTTCCTCCATCCTATCTTCTAATTTCGAAAGACTATCAGCTTCAACTATTTTTGAAAGTTTTTCCAACTGTATTTTGTATACTTGGATTACGTAGTGGTAACGGTGTAGTGCGCAAATGTTAACTTCCTTTTAAAAATCACTTATCTACAAGAATATAATAATCAGGAGATGAAGCATAGAATTAACCATTATGGTAAGTGGTTAATTCATTTATAATACGTCTGGCGCAATCTGCCTGTAGCTAAGTAAGTTTGGAATACAGATTATATGAGACCTTCTATTCAAATTATAGAATCTTAGAAAAGGTCTGTGCACATTTTCCGTACATCATGGGTCGTTCTGAGATTGAAACCTAGTTTTGTTGAGCTAAATACACCACTGTCTGCTTAAAACTAAGAGTTTGCTTTGCCCGCAGTAACGTGAAAACTTTCTCCCGGCGACGCCACTCCGCCGATCTTCTTTTGTTTTCATTAGGGGTGAACGGTGCGGGGAGCAAGTGAACCCTTGCCACACCGCTTCCACGCCACGCAGCAAGTCCAAAGCTGACTAGATAGATTGCTGTGCAAATATTTTAGTAGCAGATGGTGCCGCACCAGTCGATCGTATACCAGTATCTCAGTCAGAGCGAATATTTCATCCAGGAAACATTATTATGTGGGGGGTGCTTACACGTTCGTAGCCTGAAAAACAAGGTTGAAATCTCTTGAAATAGACTAAACTCACAATACTCTTCATGTTTTTGTAGAGCAAGGTTTCAACTGTAACTGAGACACTTGACTACCTAAAAAGTTATAATTTTAACCGACTTCTTGAGCATTGAGTATACTCGTACGGTAATGCAGATCAAAGTGATCAGGCCATTTTTTCAATAATTACAAGTTTCTTGCCTAGATAAATGTATTTCAGGTTTTTTGGATTATTCCAGATAAAAAGAAATTCATTAACTTTCCTCTAAAGCTGACCATTTTCGAATTATATACGTAAGCGATCTGTTGTCTGAACAGCCCTAAAAATATTGTCAAGAAATATCTGTATTAAAGACAAAGTATTGCACTACATCAGAGAACTCTGAGATTAATTTACTCTAGGCTACTTCTAACTTTGCTTGTTAGGCCGAAATTGGGAAACATTTGGTTTTCACAGGCTGAATATAACCGCTTACATTTTGGTTTTTTGGATCATTCCGAATGAAAAAGGTATTCATTAACTTTTCTCTAATGACGGCCATTTTTGAGTTACAAGCAAATCAATGCCTGAATAGCTCTAAAAATAGGCATATTCAATGCTTAAAGACTTGGTTAACAATTATAATTTTTGATATAGCCAAAATACCTAGACACACACTATACAATATCAATAATTGTATTATGTTTGTGTGCAAATTGTGGACACGAGATTTAAGTGATTAAAAATTTAATCGCAATTTGTGAATATTCATTATTACGCCTTTAATCATATGTTTCTCTATTGATATTCCTCAAAATCTTATTCAAAGCTTATTTTTAAAACATTCTAACAAAATAGCAAGGTAGCAAAATCGTCCGACGAGCCGGCAACACCGCAATCCAGATGACAAGAACAACAAGGTCAGCTGCCAAAACTTATATCTAGCCTGGGGTACCGATGAAGCCATTTCAAATGTCAAGGCGTCAATTTTCATTTGCATTTTTTGAGTGTTGTGCAACGATTTCTAGAAAAATTTCTGTTATCTTAGCTCGGGTGTAATAACTTTTTTACGTTTCATATTTCCTGTAGCATATTTCCTCATATTTTCCTTGTAATATACTTCACTAACCAGATATTATCTTTTCTTATCTCTCTTATTTCCCACGGTTAAGCGAAGGAAGTATTCTAATAGCGCAAAGTTCTCAAATTTCGAAAAAAAAATTGTTGATGCTGAGAGAAATCTTCTAAACCGTTTCCATGGGCCTCCCTATTTGTCGCGTGATCTAACAAACTTTTGCATCAGGTTTGACGCAATCTGGAGAGAGATATGCTGCTAGGTCATAGATGATGCTAGTTTTTGGAGGTTTCTGAAGTGGCGTAACTATGACTAGTTTCAGCACCTTGCCATACCTCGTTTCTGTATATTTTACAAGTTTCTGGAAGGTTAAAAAGTACTCCTGAAATTTTTTTTTCCTTGTTTTCAAGTTTCTGATTATTTTAATAAAGTCTCATCTTTGATAATACAAATTATGGTGCTCCAAGAGTAGTAATTTGCACATTGTACAAATGAAAAATTAGAGATAGATGTCTGTGAAAGCTCGAGAAGTACCACACCAATATACTTTCATCCTTAACTTTCTTCTCCATTCAAAACCCAGTGCACTCAATTCAAAGGTAGGTACATCTAAATATATTATATCTACCTTTAGTATTCTAAAAGCTCCTTGCATCTTCGTGGAAGCAAGTAAATTAATTTATTAAAGATCCAAACTGTTCCTCGAACGTTTCAGCATCTAAAGGCTTCTTTGAGACGCTGTTCGTTTTGCATGCACCGCATATTTTTTTGATTAAAATGGTATAAGATACCAAAATTCAATAAGGTTGATCAAAGTATCCATTAAGGTGAACTTAAAGTATGAAAGCTAGCTACTAACCATATACATATTATACTGGTTAGACACGAATAGAGGAAAGTGCTTCTCCAGGATTTTAAACCAAATACTTAGATAGGAAGCATTTACCTTCTAAATGTCCTAGCCAACAAATCAAACGACAGATGTTGAAGTAATTACTTGGTGCACGACTCTGCTACCCCAGCAGACTATTTCTACGTAGAAGTAATTTATTTATGATTTCCGGGGAACCAACTTTCGAGCGCAGTAGGATGGAGAATGCTCCCTGATTAATGATCCCAAATTATGGTTGCTGTTGGCATTTGCCAAACAAGTCTGTGAATGCATTCGCTATCGGCAAAATAATTCGCCCTAAGGTTTTTCGTTAATTTGGTCTTATCAGATGAGACTGGATTAACGACGCACTTTCTCTGCCTAAAATGATTCGGAGAGCGGCTTTCCCATCAATGATTAGATATTCAGTTCCCGGAAGGTAACCCTTCCTATCAGTTATTTTACTCGTGCGTTTCAAATATTGCCTTCCAAAAAACAGGGATATCTCGTTTTTGTCGCTAGCGATCGCAATTATATTATACTACAATTTTGGTGATTTTTCCGTGCAATATAAAAATAAACGAAAATGTATCACTGGAAATACTAGTAACATTTAGTCGATCTTTATGTAATTATGACTAACGTGAAAAAGTGAATAGTTGGTTGTGAAAGAATCCACGCGCTCATATAATTACCAAGCACCAACATGTATTTTTGCAACAAAATAATTTACATTGCAATATATAGTAGGTGTATTATATGAACTATCTAAGCTGGTGTACAGTTGCTTTGCAACTTGGAAAATTTAACCCAAATCCAAATCTCGATACGTTCAGAACGGAAAGAGATTTCGAGTTGCGGTATTCGGGAGGTTCTTGACCAACCCTTTGAAAACACGTGCATGGTTCGATAGGTATGTTTCTTTCATTTATCCGCTTATGCAGGGTGAGCAAAGTAAGTCATGTTTTTTAGCAAAGTTTGGGGCTGTGTCAGATTCTCAACTTATGATCTTGGACTTTTTTCTGCATCTTTTTGATCCTTGGACTATCATCAAAAAGTGTTTTCTTAAATTGTTCAAAAGTTGGCTATAACTAAAATTATGTAATTTTAAAAAACAATTTTTGGGGGTTTCCCTTGAGAATGGATGTTTTTTCATGGTCTTGCATAAAGTGTAATTTCTTGCGCCCGAGAAAAGAAGAAGTACTCATTATGCAATTAAACAGCTTAATGAACAAATCCAAGTTACCACTCTTAACATAGGAGTGTATTTCAGTGGCGTAACACCAGAAGCAATTTATGGTTGAGTAAGGAGTGCTAATAACTTAAACATTCTTATTTTTCAAAATGCTATGATGCTGACCAACACTGCTATTCATCTTTTGTCTGAAATTTTTTATCTTTCTCATTCAGCACTGGCGTACGCGTCTTCATTGGAGATGTTTTCCAATAGGTAATAGACTCTATTAAATTTTTAAACAACGTCAAAGGATTTATTGATTAACATTAACAATATGTAACATTATAGAAAACAAAAATTAGAAGACCAGTTAAATACCTAAGTTATTTATTTACGACAAAAACGAACTTTTTACAAAACAGCAACAGTTATTTTAAACAATATTGTTAGTACCGATAATCTCGGCAAGAATCTCAGCGAAAATCTCGACGAGAACTTCTTTGGGTCCACACTTGCATGGTTCTCAATACAGTTCTCGAGCTCGATGATGATGGACGCAGAATTAAATGTCGACACCAGCACCAGATTTTTCCTATTTCTTGACTTTATTTTTATACCGTTTGTAGCTGGCTAATAAAGAATTTTTTTGCTCTTTAATTCTCCAACGGGTAATTCCATCAAGGTATCAGTACGTGTCCAAGCATCGTGGGCTTTTAGTTTATTTTTATATTCTTAAACCAGGTGCTTCGAAAAAAAAAATTGATAAATACTCTCTTAGAGAGCAAAGTATGAGAGCGCTTTTAAAATGTAAAAATCGCAAATATAACAAAAAAGAAGAACAAACAAATAGTTTTTTGGATTACATTACACTGTATTGTGATCAGTAGATTCTTAGGTTTTATGTGACTTTCACATTAAAATTTTAAAACAAAGCACAAGGGGCAAGAGACATGTATTTTTTAAAAATTTGTCCAGTGGTGTCAAATGTATGAAAAAATATGCATACACCGAACCTCTTTGGCTGTTATCACCGTCACACTGTGGGCCGTTGTCAAAATTGATACCGATGGAGTAAGAATTCGTTAGCCATTTATGTGCAAAATATGTGAAATGCAATGCGCAATCCTTCATGATATAATTATTAAAGTGAATGAAAGGCCACCATCAATTTGTTCCCTATAAAAATCCAACCTCCTCTGAGAATGTTTACGTAGTGCCAACGATCCTCTTCTTCTACAGCCTGCCTGTAAACGGAAAGCTCGGCAAATATTTTAGTACTCAAACTGAGAAGCCAGGCCGGGCAGCGTGCAACGTGGCGTGATCGGTTCGGCGAGTTTTGTCTGTGTAGGCACATCTCGTGAGGCGAACGACCATAATTGGGGAGGATTGAATTTTCCTCTCCTCTTTATCTGTCTTCCAAGGAACTCTGATTAAAAGGAGGATCGGGATAATGATTACTACGCCTAATCCCGACAAGAACGATCCCAAATGTCAGCGACATTGCCTTTGTGGAGGTGCGCAATAAACTTGTTCGCCAGGATTCATAATATAATGGGATATAAGCTTTTCTGCCGCAAAAGGTCAAGATTGGAACTGACCTAGATTGAATAGACGGTAGAATATGGAGATGGTGACACAATTCCAACTTTGTGTTTGCCAGAAATTTTATACCGGGTGTATCAAATTTCGTCAATGTCTGGGAGCAAAGTTGCACAGTTGGATATTTAAGATAATGACTCGAGCCAAGTTTTGCCATACCGATCATTTCCACAGATAAACGAAAAAAAAACGAATTCTCCCTGAATTGGTTTTGATTTTTTTATGGCCTTATTTGAGATAAGAATTCAAAATAACAAGTACACTAAACTGCCACTTTCTCACCTCAACAAAATGGCATATTTAAGATTTTAATTTAACGATGCATCTCTCTCAACTCTATTTTTCTTATGGACGCCATATCAGATTTCTATATAGGTAAATAGGTTTTATAATCCTATTTCCAAGTGTGTAATATGTCCCATAATGAAATTGTCACACCTAAGTTATTTAATAAAGACTAATACTTTCGTCGATGGCCTTGGCAGTGGCAGTTGTTCATTTAATGCTTAGCCGATTAAATAATCAATGCTTCAATTTTTGAAAACGTGTTCAAAGAGCATTCAGATAATTTTCCCATCTATTGGCTATAACAAGCATTATTTCATCAGGATGGAGGCGCTCTTATGACATGTCAGCTGTAGATTAGTAGTATGTGAATGCAAGGAATGTGTATCGGTTTAGGTATTCCGGTTATGAAATGTGGAAGCTGCAACGTCACCGAGGCGTTTATTTACTCTATAACGTTTCTATCACTTACATAAAATAATAGTATCGTCAATGTTTTCAATACTTCCATCAAATAATACGGAAAAGTTTTAGCATGATATTTTATGTATTCGATGACTTAAGACCAACTATGGGAAGATCCTTTTATACATTTGAAGCTTCATGACATAACCATGTCATGTCGTGTTTAATATCACATCTTTGAAATCATTAATAGGGACTACTCGCCTACGCCTAGTTCATAAAAACTGTATTTTTTATACCGAAGCAGCTGCGCCAATAGAAGCCCAAATGCCAGGGCACCGCGGCTGGTATGAGAATCACAAAGAAACTTTGTCGATCTGATTTTTGAACTATCTAAGATTATTAGCCTCCCATTGTAGATTGTTTCACAATCTCGACATCCTAGGGACAAATGAGCGGCCGTATCGGCTAGTTCTGTATGTACGAAACTGGACACGGTTAGGATGGAAGGCGGAAGTTTGGTACATCTGTCTGGCAGACAAATGGTGAGGCGGCATCATGGATCAATTCTGAAATTTTAAATTTAGATATCCTTTATTTCTTTTTCAAGCTGAATTTCAACCCAAATATGCTCAATTATGTCCTTGCACTCACTCTTCAATATATTAAATTTCAGGTTAGAATTTAGACATATTCCAACACCACCGCCGCGGGTCACGCGGTCTTGCCTGACAAATTTGTAACCATTTAAGCAAGTAATATCACTGTCAATATTAGAAGTTAACAAGCTCTCTGTAATGCCAACTATATGATAATTATTGTCAAAAACATCCTCTTTAAAACTGTCGAAATTATTTATGAGAGATCTGACATTAATATGTGCACAGCGCATAGAAGGAGTGGTAGAAAGAAGGAAAGAAAAGGATAAGAAAAGAGAGGAAGTAGTATAGAAATTAATATAGGTAGACAAATATCTGAAATACTTAGTACATAAAAAATTAAATAAATAATGTTTGAACCTGCAGCCGTGCAAAACAAGCTTCTTTATTAAGTACCCCATACAGTAATTCGTAATTATGCCATGCCCATGAAAAACTCTACTCTTAACCTTATAGAATAAAACTTTAAAAAACCAAAACAAAATTGACGCAAATTAAAATATTAGCTATATCAATTAAGGACTGTCATTCTGTGCTTTACACTAGTTTCGTCGAATTGAAAGACAACACAGAACTCATCACTCATATATACTTAATTAAGTGTATCATGCAAAAATAAATCCTACAACAGGAAAAAATGTAGTTGTGTAATTCAAGTAATAAATAGTACAATATAGGTATTATAATACGAGTAGATGTGATAGCATAACTATGTTGTCCATACCTCTAAACAAAATCACTATAAGATGTACATGCTATCCATAGTAATGTGGTTTATTTAATATATACATATGTTATGAGATGAATCAACTTTCAATCAAATTAACCAGATGAATGCAAAATAAGTGCGTAGTATTTTCCATTTGGCGCTTGTATACCCCTACAGCCCTCGCAAAAGGAATCAGGAATACACATCTAACTCACGACTTTTTGCAAGTCTCCCGAGTTATTAATGCGATGCATAACGTCACCAAGTTTCACAAACACAGGAGCACTACGACACCAGGCATTTTTATAAGTATATTGGTTTACAGCGGCCACAAGGAGGTCCAGACGCTTTTTCGTTAAATCTTCTTTTATTAACACACCCGTAGAACGCAAATTTTTTAGATTTTCAAGGATTGACGACCGATCCTCTTCGCAGGAAAAACGAATTAAAACTGCAGGCGGTTTATTATTGTTAGCTTTTGGTTGTGCCCTATGGCATTTTACAATACGCGATTCATCGATGTTTACTTTCATACGTTTAAAAATGTCATGTACCTTTTTATGTAAATTCTCACGGTTTTCCACGGGTAGGCCAAACACATTTACATTAAGGTTTGCCTGTTCCTGGTCATCAACTGTCCGTAGAATTCTGTCCTGCGTGTCCCTAAGGTCCCTGATCTCTTCTTTGAGTTCAACGATGGCCAGTTCCTGCTCTCGCAGCCTTGTCTCATACTTCCTTGCAAGGAGCTGGGCAACTCTTTCGGCAATAGTCTGTAGAAACCGATCAGTGAATATACCTTTAATTTTCTCAACGTCGTTATCTGCACGTCGTTATCTGCACGGTTTCTAACCTCACAAAACAGCACTGTGTAGGACAAAATATCGGTGGAAAATGGAACAAATTTTAACGATTCGTGAATGAGCTCAAAACATCACTGCGGAAAAACACCACTCAGTAGGGGACACTTCAATATTTACTGAAAATTTTTGGAAAAACTTAGCTGCAGATTGCAAACGTGTGTTCACACACAGGGCGCCATCTGCGCATCTTCATGATTTCTGGCATATGACTGCCATGGCTGGCTCGGATGTAGTCCAATCTGGACGTTCAATTTTTGATGACTTTTTCCAACATTTATGGTTGTATGTCGGCAATAACATGGCGAATGTTGTCTTCCAAGTGGTCAAGCGTTTGTGGCTTATCCGCATAGACCAATGACTTTACATAGCCCCCCAGAAAATAGTCTAGCGGAGTTAAATCACAAGATCTTGGAGGCCAATTCACAGGTCTAAAAAGTGAAATTATGCGGTCACCAAACGTGCCTTTCAATAAATCGGTTGTAGCACGAGCTGTGTGACATGTTACGCCGTCTTATTGGAACCACAGCTCCTGGACATCATGGTTGTTCAATTCAGGAATGAAAAAGTTAGTAGTCATGGCTCTATACCTATCACCAGTTACTGTAACGTTCTGGCCATCATCGTATGGACCAATGATTCCACCAGCCCATAAAGCGCACCAAACAGTCAGTTTTTCTGGATGTAACGGTGTTTCGACATAGTCTTGAGGATTAGCTTCACTCCAAATGCGGCAGTTTTGTTTGTTGATGTAGCCATTCAACCAGAAGTGGGCTTCGTAGCTAAACAAAATTCGCTTATGAAAATCGGGAACCACGTCAATCTCGTTTTGGTCCCATTCAACGAATTTACGCCTTGCTTGATGATCGTTTGGCTTCAATTCTTACACGAGTTGGATTTTGTAAGCACGCATACCAAGATCCTTCGACAAAATCTTCCATAAAGTGGATGGACACAAATCCATTTCGTGTGCTCGATGGCGGATGGACTCATTCGGGTCTTCCTCAATGCTACGCTCTGCAGTAGCAATAGCTTCTTCTGTACGCACCGTACGGCATCTCTGGGGATGCGAGTTATCGATTAGAGTAAACGTGGTGCGAAAACGTTACATGGTTAATCGAATTAACTGCTCTGATGGACGATTTTGTCGACGATAAAATGGACGTAGTGCGCGACACGTATTCCGCACAGAACCATTATTTTCGAAATAAAACTGCACAGTTTGCAAGCGTTGTTCAGGCGTGAGTCTATTCATAATGAATTGCCAAACCAAACTGAGAATAAATCACTTGACAGCTGTCAAATCGGTCGCTATCTTCAAAAGTAAAGCCAACTTAAAGTTCTATACCTCGAAAAAAAACACCCGTTACAAGGAAAAATAAAGTTGATGATTGAACGAAAGAGACGAAACGTTATAATAAAACTCCAATTATGTCAAGTAAAAAAGTGTTGATGTACTGTTTATTTTAAGCAGTTTTCTGGGAAGCTTTCTAAACGCCATTTCTTAGTTACCTAAATGCGCGCCGTTCCCTCATCTAATCAACCTCGTGTATCTTGCCGTTTCCGAGATGACAATGGTAAGAGTCGGATTTGTTAAACTCCAATGTTCAAGACGAGAAACAAAGCACCAATCATCAAGAAATCCACAGAGTACTATATAATATAGTTCAGTCTCTACTCGTCGCTTCTGTTCAGTGGGGGTGCAACTTTATCGGTTAGGTAACTTGAACTTGTGGCATGCAGCTCTCTTATGCGAACTTCCATTGTATGGCCTCACAGAGAACCTTGGGTGGATGACTTCATCTCTGGCTGCAAGATATCTGTCGTATTTGATGGGTTCTCTTTTTGATACCACAATGTCAACGCGGGTGTTACCGAAGGATCGATCTTGGCTCCAACATTTTCCCTCTTACATATCTACGACTTTTTGTCCTGCACGATAAATCCGATCCACAGCTTTGCTAGTGACAGCACTCTACATGCAGGAATTCAGAGAGGCAAGTCGATCTCTGCCGGTGAGCTGGAGAAAAGAAGAATAACAGCGACTTCCTCCCTGACGAACAAAAACCCTCCAAACGCTCAGCGCTCATCGGATTTCGACGTCAAAGAGCCGTCCACTTCGACTTGTCGGAGTCCAGACCACCGAGGACTATATCTGGCACGAACACGTCTCGTCAATAGCGGCAGAACCTGTAAAAAAGCTAAAATATTTATTTTGGCTAAGAAGTACTTTTATTCACATAACCTCCTCCTCCTACGCGGCTGCGTCGGTATAAAAAGCCGAATAATTGAGCAACTAGTAAGTTCCAAGCTATAGTTACCCTGCTTGGAAGACAATATACGATTGAAATTTTTTTATCTGTGATGGTCATGCCTGCCTTAAATCATTTGCCATCACAGGCACACATCACACGTCAGCTAACACCTTCGGGTTCTCAAGAGGTAGTAGTGGTTTATTGTAAGAAAAGAAATAATTTACAAGGAATATAATCCCGTAATACAATTGTACCATAAACACGAAAACTCTCAAAAAGATAAAATTGTGCTGGGCATTAGTCGATAGCTAGAGACAATTAAACCTTGAAATAGCATAACTTTAGTAAAACTCAAATATTAAAAAAGATAAAAAAGCTGATTAAACAAAACTAAAAAATAAAACAATCACATAACATATTAAAAGCTAGGAGACGTCCATCAAGACATGAAGACTGATAGTAGATATTCTCCAACAACCTCCCGCTGGTGCTAAGGGTCCGCCGACATCCATAATTCAAAAGAAAATGTCATGACGGCTACAATGGATCGTTCTAGGTATGAATGAATAAATATTTAACGTGGATTCCTGCGCGCTCCGTTATCAAGAAAAAGCACTGCTAGTGACGTGAGAGATACCAATGCCAGCGTTTGCCTGTCCGACAACCTCCCAAAGAAATATGCTCCATATGATGCCGCATGAAAATGGATTATCTCCAGCAATACAAGGGAGGGATCAGAAACGCTAATACAGCAGAGCCTGTTAACGAATCGCGATGAACATTTTCAAAGATCTTTGATGGAATTGATACTAATGATAATCGACGCTAATCTAAGAATCATACCACCTCCATGTTTTTGATAATACATAGTATAGTTGACGAAATTTGTAAAATTTCTTGGTAATATACCTCAATATCTATATGGGCCAAAAACCGTTTTTCCCAAAAAATCTAACTTTTGCATTATATATTTCGGGTTTTACAAAAATTAAATTGAATATAGCTCAAAAACGCTCCAAACTGTTATGGCACCTTGAATGACGTCACGCCAAGCCAAGCAAAACGAAACTTACTACAACACTTGCCATTGTGTACAATCAGTAGTTAGTTTTGTTCGGTTTCTTTAATGAAAAATAAAGCATTCGTATTATAAGTGCTAAAGCGCAACTATAAAACGTCGGACAAATTATTCATATATGTTCCAAATAATGGAAGAACCTCGGCGACAACTTACAAGGAGTGCTAAGCGTATAGTTTATTTACAGATTCAAGAATATGTTTTTGTGAAGATCATTTTGATGTATTTATTTACACAATCTATTTTCGAATCTGCAACAAAACTAATTAAGTTTAGTTCTCGGATGATCACGTTTATTGATGAACTGGGCAGAGTAAAAGATATATGGCAAGGCAACACAAAGGCTAAAATGTACTCTACTAGTCTACATAAGCCTGTCCGTATGGTAATTTGTCCTATTATCGGTGCAGAACACCTAAAATTCAATAAATGGTGATTTCAATTGGTTATTATTTTTCCCAAGTGTAACCCGCTGGTAAATTACGCAACTTGAAAAGTGACTTATTGTTGTTTTTTACATGATGTCAGTTTTTTTACATTTTGCAGGTTTTCCTACAAGACGTCAACTTGGAACTAACTGTCGCTCACTTGTAGCAAGCACGCAATGAATTATTTGTACACTAGCCCTACTTAGTCAACAAGTTGACATTTTACCATTTTTTTGACATTATATAGGTTTTTCACATAATAACCCTACCGTATTACACATACACTAAACCACCGACGATATATAGTATAAACACTGCCATTCATTCATGATTACGCATTTGTTTATTTTCCAACATTGCTTGGTGGTCAGGGGGCAGAGACGACTGGTGGGGAAAACAAAATGGCCGCCAGCTAGGGAAATGATTACGTTACAACCAGTGGCGTATCATGATGATAATATTTCCGCATTCACAATGAAATAATGAATAATTAATCAATCTGTAGAACACGAGTCAGCCACATTTTTTTTTAATTGAAAAAGTTAGGTGAAAAGTACTACTTCTAAATCCGAGACCTAAAAAAATGTAGGATGGTGTAAAAATCCATAATGGATAAACATTATGATATACCAGAAAATCAAGATTCTTATTTCAAAAAATACAAGTCGCTTAGTGTTATTTCAATTTATTGATTTCAAGGTGGAACAGGATTGATATCTATCAATTTGTCTTTTCGTTTTTTAGATAGTTACATACATTTTGAGTGTGCTACAAGAAAATACAGTTCTTTTGAAAATGGTCCTCCCACTTATTTTTTGAACTGGTTAAGTTAGCAGGTTGAAATTCGGGTTGTTAAAATTGATGTAAAAATGGTGGATGAAAACTTCCAAGATAGCACCTAGACGCCATTCTGGGAAATTTTTCTGAATGGCATTGGACGTCATTTTGAAGATCTATTAAGATAAACACTATAAGGTGTTGAGTAGATGTTGGGTTAAAGGCGGCTCAACGTTCAAATGCCTATAATATGACAGGCTGTGAGTTATCCATTTTAAAAGGTGATAATTTCATATTCTAGAAGGTCATAAAGCATTCATAACGAGCAACAAAATGAAATATTGCATTACCCTCATTCCACTTTTAAAAATGTTCCATGAGAGCGCGCAGACCCTTCTTGAAATTTTGAACAGCTATTTTTTTATTATTCCACCTATCCGAATTTTAACTTACTAGCTTGACCTGTTCAAAAAATAAGTAAGGGGAGAGGTACCTATTAGAAAGAGAAAGAAGAACACAACAAGTCATTGTTTAATTTCATGTTTTATTTTCAATTTATAATACACTCACCATTAGATTATGGAACACGTACAGGTTTACCATATTGTTTAACTCTCTGTAACGTAGAAATGACTTCGGAACTTTCTAATGCACTGTTGCATTTTGTGCAAGTGACACATTTTTTCATTGTTTTTACCACAAAACCAGAAATATATTCTACAAAATTTTCGCTATAGTCAGTCAAGTCCCAAGCAGATGATGATGATATGTATGTCGATATATTATTTTTGACGTCTTGTTCAAAGTCTAAGTACTGTTTGCTGTCTGTCAAATCATCTCCACTATCTGTAGCAGTAATTTCTCGCCCACTACCACATGACAGAATTGTTACACTATTCCCATCTGAAATATTTCCTAAACTTGGACCTGTTATTTCAGTATGGACGAGTAATCTTTTGTAGGCTGCTTCAAAGTGCCTTGCATTTCGGTTATTATTATATCCCCCTTTCCCTCTTATTGCACCGAAAAAAAGTTCCAAGTGGTCTTGTGATAATTTATTCGTCAATATGAATTTTAATTTGTTTTCTAAAATATATGCATTATATAGACCCTTCAAACTGGTAATACAAATAAGAAAGCCTAAAAAGCCAGTCTTTCTAGGCGACTGAATGATTGGAATGCTTCCTAACTTTAAATTTTTTATGAAACTGCTTAATTCATCAAAAAAACTAAAAAATTGTTCAGCCATTGCTGGTGATAGTGGTCTTTTAAATTGATATTTAGCCAATTTATTTCTCACTATAACACCAGATTCGTGAATAAAAGACAGACATTTTTTGACAATCTCAGCCTTTTCTGTTCCACTAAGACCATCTAAAAAGAAATAGCCTACTGGTATTTTCCATGAGCCGTTCAAACCAACATGCATGAATACCAAAGCTTCTTTTGTTTCAGGTAAAATGTCCGAGTCGATCTTTTAGCCAATATCTATATACCCAGAGAATTTACTGCCTGTCCATTCCACCTGGCGACGGATGGACATCTCATCTAAGACCAAATTACAGTAGACTGCCTTACCTTGTGACAAAGCGTATTCATGTTTTATTTTCAAAGCCTGCAGTGCTTCTTGGGTGATGCCTGGGGAACCATCAACCGATCTATACCATTTACTGATAGTGCTTAGATGAGGCAGTGATTTATTGAACGTGTGACAAAATTATAAGCTCTAGGCGAATAAAAAGATAAAGTTAATGCAAAAGTCCTTATTGAAGGGTCATACTTCTGTGATGATGGCCCTCGTAACATTCTCTCAAAAATTTTGTAAACAGATAGGTCTATCTCTCCTTATAGTCGGTGCACTATACTACAACTATTTAAAACTGTAATGACTCATACGCGTGACCAACACGTGATCAGAGCTCGATCCCGGCTTCCTTCCAGTACAGCCGTATAGCGTACGACATATGTCGTTTCTGTGGCTTTGCGGTGGGCAACAGCACAGACAGAGATGGAAATAATGGCTGATTGTTCTCCGCCGGTAGAACCAATGAAATCAAAGACGCGCCTCGACCGGCAGACTCATAGGCGTTTTTTTTTTTTTTTTTTTTTTTTTTTTTTTTTTTTTTTTTTTTTTAACGAGGGGGGAATGCATTTACGCACCATACCATAGCACGAGCTACGACGTGTGTGGGGCTCCAGGGTCTTGAAGAGATCACCTAATACCCACTAAACCCTAAACCTCCGCGTGGCCCGACTCATCAGCGTCTCGGTAGGCCATGTGTTGTGCGTGACCTGCGGTCTGCTACAACGTCTCCTCATGTGTTTCAGTCTCTGGGAACGCCGGGTTGGTTCCCTTTACCTCGCACATTCTATCGATGTCGTTAAGCGATCATCGATAGAGGGTCTGCTAGTTTCTCTTGAAACTCTTGTTTTCGAAAAATCAAGAGTTTCAAGTCATCTTACCAATATGTTGTTCCTGGTCCTGGTCCTGAAGGGTCCTGGTCCTGGTGGGTCCTGGTCGTGGCGGGTCCTGGTCCTGGTTGGTCCTGGTCCCGGTGGGTCCTGGTCCCGGTGGTTCCTGGTCCTCTGCATCCACGCCGTGGTGGGGGGGGGAGCAGCCGCAAATTCTCCTAGTCTCCTAGCCAAGGTTCCAGTTAGCGGGTGCCAACTGGGACCCTGGTCTGGGGTACCTGGTTCTGCGGTTGCGAGGCCTCTCGTCCGGATCGTAGTCCATGAGGAATCGTAGCTGCTCGTTCGGGTGGTCCTGAGCTTTCTCGAAGGTCTTCTCCGCTTTTTTCCTCATGTACTCGTGGATGGTATCCCAATGCAGGTCTCTACGCAAGGTTGAGTTCCTTACGTAGGAAGGTGCATTGGTGGCGATCCGGAGTAGCTTCATCTCTAGAGCAGCAAGTCGCTTGCGGTAGCTGGGGGCAGCGTACCCCCAGACCGCGGAGGCGTAAGCGAGCTGAGGTCTGGCGATGGCCTTGATCAGCCGTAGCTTGGTCGCTAGCGGTCATAGGCGTCGGCAACGCATTGGAACGTGTTTCGTTGAGGGATCGCATATTGTGTGTTTTTATAAGAATTGTTGTGTGATTGTTATTGTTGTGGTTTCTGTGGTTGCTGTTTTGGTTATACTTAACCATTGAGAGTACAAATGGCACGAGTGGAAGTACTGAAAGCGAGGGAACAAGTAGACGGCTTCGTAAAGCACTGAAGAGGGACGCGAAAGAAATCGTGCTCAACGTGTTCAATTATCTGAACAGAACTATGTCGCAGGGAGATGCACTCGCGCGTTGTGAAAGTATGACAGGCGATCCAGAGTGGACCATTCGCAGGGTGGTGCATGAAAAGAACAAAACTGGAGCTACTACTGATCCAAAGTTTAATTTGAAGGGACGAAAGGCCGTTAAATTGGATGACGATAGCAAAATGGCGTTAAGGCGAACCGTACATTCATTCCTCTTTAGGAATGAGATACCAACCCTCAAGGCTGTACATGCAGCGATCAAGGAAAATGAAATTATACCCCAAATGAGCGTCGAGGTAATGAGGAAATCCCTGCACGAAATTAATTTTCGTTACGAAACGCGTAATCGGAAGACAGTATTGATAGAGAGACCTGAAATAGTCGCCTGGCGTCGAAAATACCTACGCGAAATGATTGAATATAGGCGACAAAGCAGAAAAATGTATTATTTGGACGAGACATGGGTAAATGCAGGTCACACAGTTAAAGAAACCTGGATAGACAAAAACGTAGTGAGTAATCGACAAGCAAGCATTGAAGGTTTGTCAACAGGTCTTCGTGGACCGTCAGGGAAAGGTCAAAGATTGATCGTAACTCATATTGGTAGCGATAGTGGCTTTTTAGAAGAGTGTGACTTGATTTTCGTCTCTAAGAAAGGAGGTGATTACCATGACGAAATGAATGCCAGCTGCTTCAAAAGCTGGTTTCAAGGGGTGCTTCAGCGAGTTGAGCCCAACTCTGTGATCGTCATGGATAATGCTTCCTCCCATAGTCGTCGAGCCGAACGTGTACCGACTATGGGATCTCGAAAAAGTGACATGCAGCAATGGTTGCGCGAAAAAGGAATCCCATTTGACGATTCATGTGTGAAAGCGGAATTGTATGAAAAAATTAAACAGCACAAACCTGCGAACATTAGTTACGTGACTGATGAGATGGCCCGTCAATGTGGTGTCACTGTGCTGCGGTTACCGCCCTTCCACTGTGAACTGAACCCAATAGAGCTCATCTGGGCTCAGGTGAAGGGTTATATTGCGCGCCATAACAAAACCTTCAAATTACCAGACGTTAAGGTTTTACTTGAGACTTCCATACAGCTAGTAACGCCCGAAGCTTGGCAGAATGCTATCCGTCATATTGTGAAGGAAGAAACAAAAATGTGGCAGCTTGACCACCACATCGACACCATCATAGAGCCAGTTATAGTCAATTTCAACGAGGAAAGCGATAGCGACAGTTTATTACTGTCAGATGTAAGTGGAAGCGACGATGAATAAAGGTAATTCCCAAATTTTTGACTTACAATATGTTTCAAACCACTCTTTATTAAGCATGTGACAAATAGTTAAGTGATGTTCACGTGAACATCGATGAGTCATTACAGTTTTAGATAGTTATAGTATAGACAGTATCATCCACATATGAGCGGCGATGTTGCCAGTTCACCATATGTGTTTGCTGTTTTTAAAAGATGATAAAATCTTGGAAATCGAATATTCACTATTTACAATGGATTTGTACATGCGGTCTAAGGTGTATTTGTGAAGATGGCAAAGTTGATCACAGCAAGTATTCATTTTAAAAAAGCAAAATAGTGGTACATTTACTATTTTTGCTTGCCAAAAATTTGTATTTTTACATCACATATCTTCGACAATTTACACGTTTCAGATTTTTATTCATGTTAAAACGTCAAAACAGAGAACTGTATAAAAGCAAAATGTATCGGCATAATATACTGTGCACTCATTACTGTCACCTTTAAGCTGCACGTAACTTGTGGCATCATCTTCATATGAAGCTCCGGAGGATCAAATTAAGCTATGTTTATAGTGAGCAACTCACTATTGGATGCGAGAAATTTTCACAGCATGAGGCCCCAACTAACAATTTTCATTCCTATTAGGGTTGTAAAGACGTTTATGCAGTATTTCTTATACAGCATTGCAAGCTGCAAGAACACTAGCAAAACATTCTTACAACAACTATACACACGGAATGGGCACACCATATACAGCATTTCAATATCTTAAGAGGCTGTATAAAAGCTGCAGGCAATAGTTATGCAACATATGTGTAAACATTCTTGCAGTGACTAAGGAACCTTTACATCAGTGCATAGTGACATCTTTTTAGAACCTGCATAATGTCTGTGAACATTTGCAGAGCCTTAACAGTACCGATTTCTCATTAAGCTGTCCCGCTGAGGTAATATCTGCTGTGGCTCGTGCAAGCCTTGTCAAGTTTACGCAGCATTCAACATAACCTAGAAAGTTCACCATAACAGGTTCTTCTTTATTACTGAGATGTATAAAATAGTTGAAACTATATATAAAGGTTTTAAACAATTAACCAC